ATGCATGCATTCATACATGCATACATGCATACATACATACATACATACTTACTTCCTTACATACATGTACATACATACACACATACATACATACACATACCCATACACTTATACATGTGTTAGAAAATATATACATACATATATTTTCAGTTATGTTGTATGAAATTCTCAAAGTATGGCACATGTTTATCAACTTCTGGTTTATGCTCATATACATAGTAGATGAGACGCTACACAAGGGTTCTCATAGACTGAACTAGGGTAGGAAGGGGTTCGTTCAAAGGTTTCTTTGGTGTACAAGAAGCAGGCAAAGCCCGTGCACTCAAAACCTTTCGGATCCCAATGCGGTCTCCACAGCCATCATGTTTTGTAAGGAGTAGTTTTGCGTGCCGGTAGTCTTGGCATCACTGTCGTGCCATCTAAAATGTCGAACAGACCCTGAACCCCATATCCTAGATTTGAAACTCTGTGTGGGATTTTGTCAGGAAGATGTCGACGACCGGCCGTCTAAGCCGTCTTGGTCGGGTGCTCATGCAGGGCCTCAGGCTTCCAAAGAGCGAGAGGGAGGGCCAGAGAGACTAAGAGATAGATAGAGATATATCTAGCGAGAGAGAGACTGAGAGAGAGAGGGATTTATGTAAGTGTCGCTCTTGGGCTTGGGTACACCACTTTTCCTAATAGAGTGCGCACTTGCGCGTGGGCAGGGGTTTGTTCCCTGTCCCGGGTTTTTAAATGAAAAATAGATGCCGAGTTGAAATAAGAAGTGGAAGAGAGTGCGAGTTCGTTCCGGCACGGAGCCTTTAGTCTTTAGGGTTTAGGTTTTAGGGGAACTCCGCTCGCGATAGGCGCAAAGTGCAAGCTGATTTGCCGAGCTGCCTTCGACAGTAGCAGGTTTCAGAAGCACCGAAGCGATGTCGGATGCGTGTTTCAGAACCCCAAACCCCTAACCCCGAACCCCTAAACCCTAAACCCTCAAAACCAAAAACCCGTAAGCCCTAAACCCCTAACCCCCAAACCCTGAACCCTTAAAACAACAAAACACCTAAACCCTAAACCCCTAACCCCTAAACCCTAAACCCTTTAACAACAACCCTTAAAACAAAAAATACCTTAAAACCGAGCCATGGACCCTCTAGCGGTCCGATCCTGTCCTCGGTACGTAGGATCAAGAAGAAGTAGCAAGGCAATTCCTTCTCTTAAGGTGCTCAGGTGAGTGTAGATAGTGTATGGGCTCGTAGAAATCCTGGTGAGTGCATACTTTGGTGGGTGTTATTACATGAAAAACCCCACTTCACACAAACTGAGTTTAGCAATTGACAGCCCCCAAACCCCCAACAAAAAGAACAAACTCCAAGCACAACTCTTGAGTAAAGTCGCCCCTTGCGGGTCTGGCGATGTATTCACAGGATTCCTGCTTTAGGAACCTGGACGGCGTGAGATCGAAGCCTGAGAGAAACCCGGAGTTCAAATACCCCCTTCATCCCATCCACCACCCCACGGTTTCGGGTTTAGGGGTTCTAGGGCCTGAGGTTAATATCAAGAAGAAGATGAGCAAATAAGGCTCAGGCCGACAATTGGGAAACAAGTGCATGCAAATGGTTCTTCAATCATTAGTTGACTTGAGTATTTATCGGGCCGCTACTTTTTCTTATGATGAAACAGGTAGGCATCGGTGTATGTACATATGTTTGTATACTCAGGTATATGAGAAATCCGTCGCAAAACTCATCGTATGCACAAATGCACCTGCATGTCATGTGTGTGTATATGCAAATACACCTATGCTCATATGCACATGTCCGTGTGTGATACCCACGTTTGCTTCCAGGAATTTCAATTTTTCCGAGAGTTCAGGAACGTATCTAGAGTTACATTGATTACAAGAGGACTAGAACTGAACTAGGGTTCAGGAAGGACGTTTTGGGGTTTCTCGTTTTGTGTTCGAGATTCAAGTTTTAGCGTCGAAGGATAGATCTGGCTCCTAGCATTGAGCTCGTCTTTTTGCGCTTTCACAGCTTTCAAGAGTGTTTGTCTTTATCTAAGGCTCCCGTGCCACAAATTTCAGCATTGGCCTTTTTGGCCCAATTTTCGCTCATTCGGCCAAGGTCCCCCTTCATGTCAATCGAGGAGCGCTCACTGCCGGCAATCTCGGAACCTCAAATATGGGGGTTTCTACCTTACTATAGTACCCTAAATAATAGGATCCTTATTATAAGGACCCCAAAATAAGGGTACCTTAATTGTCAGAAACTCCCAAATATACGCTGAAGGTTGTCGCAACGGTTTGTGCGTAGAAAGGTCGTGGCCTGCGGATCTGGCAGTCCGTACGATGTAGGGCCAGAGCTTGGTGCCTGTATGTGTTGTCTGTGTGTGTGTGTGTGTGTTGGTGTGCTGCCTTCCGTTGGCATGGGGCTGCATTTGACGGTTTTCGCCCAGAAGCATACGCTCAAATCCAAAAAACCTGCAAACCTTTGGCCCCCCTGCGCCGTCACTGCCCAAACAAATACCGTTTGCATGCTGATCTGCGTGTAACGCCCTTGAAGTATGACGAGGAGCACTCGTTCACACCCTTACCGGATTCTCAAGAGACGAAAGCGGAAGGAGAGTACGAAATTCGAGAAGAAGTCGAAGAAGATGCGGCAAATGAGGCTCGATATTTGTTGTCGATGTGGAGATACCAGTTTCAGCAGTAGCAGTAGCAGCAGTACTGGGATTCTCGGGCCAATGCTTCCGGATGATTGAGAGTTCCGGCTTTGGGGCGCCGGTTAAAGGGCTGAGGACATTTCGGGTCCTCGTTGTTTGACATTGGTGAGTTTAGGTAGTATTAATAGGGGTACCCCTTGAAGGGTACCCCTTCTGAACCCTACTTTTGGCTCTCTTAAAAGGGAGCTGATTGAGAGGGTCCATATCCCCAAGGGTCCCCCTAATCCAGAGTTTGGCACAAGAGAGGAGAGCAGTGAGGCTTTACAAGCAAGCCGCTTGACGTGCCGAAGACCTAGTAAACCCTGAACCCTAAACCCTAAAACCCTGAACCTTAAAACCCTAAACCCTACACCCTATACCCTAAAACCCTAAACCCTAAATCCTGAACCCTAAAACCCTAAAACCCTAAACCCCCAAAAAAACTTGAAGCCCCAAACCCTAAACCCTGACAGACCCTAAGGAGGAGCCTGCGGTTTGGTGTTGGTGGTGTTTGCAAAGAGAAAGTGTTCTGGCAGTGTAATGTAAGGGCCTTAATAGTTAGAATAGGGTTTTGGGGTTTCCTTATTATAACTGTAGTAGAATAGACCCCGAAGCCCTATTCTAACTATCAAGTAGAATTCTGAACACTTCGTCTTAGTATTTCTTTTGCAATTGTGTACAAGTATTACGAAATACACCGAAACGTGCTGTCCGTCGTGAGTGGAGTCGATTGCAGACATGATACAGATGTCAGAACGCTTAGTATTAGCGACACCTCCCCTCCATCGTCCCTAAACAGCCCATTTTGACCTGCGCGCTCTCAAACCGCTTCAAGGGTTTAGGGTTACGGCCCAAATTCTTGTAATGGCAGCCATCCGAAACTCCGAAACAGCCCCCGAAAGTCCAAACTGCCAGTTCCATGCGGGGCCATACTGATCCCCCCTCTAACGTTGCACGGCGAGACGTGCGCGCGGACTAGTCCGAAGCCCCCGCAGCTAAGTTCATAAAGCCAGAGCTCTTAGCCGTGCCAGGGACATCGGCGATGTGGGCGATGTGCAACCTCTGAAGAGCTACGAGGAGCAGGTGTGACAACCCAGCACTACTACCAAAGCTGAGCCTGTTCAATGCTGGCAGCAGGTTTCATGTTATGGCATTGGGCTTAGGGCTTAAACCGCCTAAGCCCTAAACCTCAGGTAATACAGGGGCCTCAATAATTACCTATGCTATTTTGGGGGGGCTCCTTATTATAATCATAGTATAATATACCCCCAAACCCTATTCTAATCATCAAGGCCCTCTATATTATGCGGTTTGATCTTTAGGATGAACGACGGTGGTCCCTTCCAATCTCCGACATCCAAAACCTATAGCCAGACAATGAAGCTGAAATCCCCGATCTCAAGCCCCAAACCCAAAACCCTATAGATCCTTTGTAGAACCCTTATAGATCCGTTTATGGAGCCCTGAAAAATCACCTTAAGGAACCCCATGAAGGAACCCCAAACCCAGGGTTAGGGAGAAGCCTAAACCCTAAACCCTAAACCCAAACCCTAAAACCTAAACCCTAAACTTAAACCCTAAACCCTAAACCCTAAACCCTTCAACCTCAAGCTTGAAAGAAGCAGGTGCTCGGAATCACTCAGATGATGACGCCTCGGGAGACGAGCAAGGCGAAGCCTTCGCAGGGCGACCAAGGCCCAATCTCGAAGGGCTCAGGCCTTTAGGGGTTTAGGGTTGAGGGTTTGGGGGTTTAGGGTTGAGGGTTTAGGGGTTTAGGGGTTGAAGGGGTTTAGGGGTTTAGGGCTGAGGGTTTAGGGGTTTAGGGGTTGAAGGGGTTTAGGGGTTGAGGGGTTTAGGGGTTTAGGGTTGAGGGTTTAGGGTTTTAGGGTTTTAGGGTTGAGGGTTTAGGGGTTAAGGGTTGAGGGTTTAGGGTTTAGGGTTCAGGCCTTTAGGGTTTTGATGTTTAGGGTTGAGGGCTTATGGTGTATGGTTGAGGCTGCATGTTGAGGAGGGCAACAGCCTGAATGGCAACCCAAACCCAACCCTGCCCCAATTTCTGAGGGTTTAGGGTTTCGGGTTTCGGGTTTAGGGTTTACGGGTTTAGGGTTTAGGGTTTAGGGCATGTGATGTCTCTGCGAGCAGGCGTGCCGCCGACCATCGCCGAGGATGAGGCCAAGTCGCTTGCTTTGAGTCCTGCTTTCGATGGCAGCGGCTACCTATAGGGGAAGGATGTAATAGTAAGCGTAACCGCAAGTGTAGTAGTGCGAATAAAAATGAAAATAATATGAATAACACAACAATGATAGTAAGTGTCAGAATAAGAAGAACGATAATGACAGAGATAAAGCAATCGTAGTAGCAGCTTAGACGGGTCTGTATGAAGTAGGTTTGTGTTAGGGAATTGGTGAGAGCATAAACGGGTTCTTATTGGGCTGCTGGCGAATGCATGTTGTGAGACTTCATGTAAGTGCACAGGTAGGTTTATACAGGCATTTGAGAGTTCGGTTTTCCAAGGCTCCAGAACATTACCTAAACCCTAAACCCTGGCAAAACCCAGGAATTCAACAGTCAGGGTCAGTCCTTGCGTGCACTACGCAGACCTTAACCCCAAATATCCTACCTTTTCAAGGACGTACATATATAAAGAAACTATACTAAGGAACCCTAAAAAGGTAGGATTTTGGGGGTCCAGGGAGTTAAGGGACAATCTGGCAGGAGATGGCCGCTTCTGTTTTGGAAGGGCGGCTGATGCTCATGATGCTGGGTTTGTTGTGCTGGGAAGGGCAGATGACGATGCTGACATGTTGAGAAGGGCGGATGATGCTGATGATGCCGGGCTTGTGGCGTTGAGAGAGGTTGCGAGTGTCCGCTTGTGGCTTTGGAACGGCGGCTGATGCTCATG